AAAAAAGGACTTGTGTCGCTTAAGTTTCGTCGGAACGAAGTTACGGAAAATCAATTAACACACGGAGACGTAACAATATATACGGAATTACACTACATCATGAAAATATTCAAGTGTCTGATTAACCATACATTACAGCACGAAGAAACTCAATTGCATTATGAGTTATATACTTCAACACCAATAAACTTAAGTGTTTGGTGAACTATATATTAAAGCACGAAAAAACAACAACTAAGTATTTGATGAGTTATGCACTACAGTAAGAATAAACCTACGTGTTTGATGAGTTATACACTAAAGTACGAAGAAATTCCATTGTTCGATGATTTATACACTAGAGTACTAAGAAAATTCACTGCCCGATGAGTTATACTCTATAACACAAAGAAATTCAATCAATGATAAGTTATACACTACAGTACGAAGAAACTCAACAGACCATACGCACGTGACGTCATGCGTATATTACCAGCATGCCGAAAAGTAAACACCGCCATTTTGGAGGTAGCAGAGAGAGTCTAGTAATCACAAGGTAGTTGCTGGTATTGTAATTTGGGATCAAGTATTTGAAATGACAATCAGCTGTGCGGCAGCTAGTTGTACAAATAACCAGAAAAAATCCAGAGTTATCGTTTTATAGGTTTCCAAAAGATCCAGTATGTCGAGTTAAATGGCAGTAAAACGTGTAGACCCAAACAACATTGACAAGGCTTGGAAACCATGCAGTTCCCATTTTATATCTGGTTAGTACTACTTGTGTATACAATGTACCTTGTCACAATTATATTGCACATATCTTCATAAACTCTGTAACTTGTAAATATTTGGTGCTTCCTGTAATCTAAATACTATGATACAGGCCCATACAAGCAGTGTTAGGTGGAAGGGCCCAGCGGGCGATAATAAAGTTTTATCAAAAATGTGACTTGTCAACACAGGTGGTCTTAAAATTCTGGGCTTATTTGTGTAAAATATATGGTAATATGTACTCAAGAAACTGGCCTTACGAGACAGGAGGGCTTAAAATGCAATACAATACGATGTAGTATATCTAGATTGTAAATTTATCGCTGACAGTTCATAAACAATAGGCCTACTCACTAAAATTGAAAACTACTTCGACTTACCCTCGAGTATACTGTGTAGTTGGACGTCTTGTACACTTTACACAGTCTGACATCGTGCATTCAGTAGGCCACAAAATACTTGTAAACATCAAGACTTTTATAAGCCTCGAAATGCTTTCCGGTTTGAAAAGATATTGTCAGAACTAAATAATATACGATATATATATATATTCTCAACGTATGGGCTTTAACGTTGGTTTGTAGGCCTAACTTGGGTCCTCCGTTTGGAATGTCGCTAATTTACTGGCATCTAGCGCGATTGTCATTACTGACGGGATGGAATGAGGATCTGTCTTGTCAAGACCGACTTTTGACTTGCACCTATTATCTAATTTGCTAGTAAATTCGTTAAAATGAACGGATAACTAGGTGACTGTGTAGCGGAGGCCACGTTTACACGAATAATGTTTCCATCCAATATGGCCGCAAATCGATGTTGTGTTTACTTTGGTCACATGACTGCATAACTTTATAGTACGAAAAAACTCAATCACTGATGAGTTATACACTACAGTAGGAAGAAACTCCATTGCCTGATATACTATTGTATAACTCATCAAGCACTTTAATCTATAAACATGTTATGGTAAGTGTCGTTAGAAGAGTAAGGGGAAGTTACGTTGGACGACAGAACTGTCTATCTTTTACGATAAGTTTCGTTAGAAGAGTAACAGTAACGTACACCGCAGTACGAAATTTTCTGTCTGTTGCGTTACAAGAGTGACGGTACATTACGTTGTATGACAGACTATTAAATACATTCACATAATTTCTAAACATCTTAACATACCTACTTGTAAACCTTCCAACTCCAGTTTCAACCTTGCCTTGCATCTTTAGTACTACTTAGTAAGTTTATACGTGTAGATTAAGGATTTTCTATGTTAACCTCTATTTGCGAGTTCGGTTTAATATTTCTAGCATAATGGAACTTAATAAAGTCGGTCTTACCTACTTCAACCTACACCCAGTTAAGAGCAATTAAATCGACGTCAACAGAACTGTAGAAAATCTTAAACTGCGAATCTCAAGATTCTATACAAATAAAATTAACCCTTTGGCTTTTGCACTGAACTGTTTATCTTCCGGGTTGTCTTATTGTGAGGGTCATGGATCAAACTGCATTCTGTGTGGGTTAAAAGTATTACTACTGTCAGTGGATGTCTGTCACCACAGAGTGTGGTTAGTATCGTTTATAATTATAGCAGATGTGACGTCATGAACCCCAACTTATTGAAGTTATCATTAGTTAAATTTTATTTATTGCATTTACCTTTGAAATATTTTTTTACTCTCATTAACAATGGTAACATAATTAACCTTAATGCTGTTTATTATAATTATACGGTCAGTGTGTGTTTTTGTATAGCAAAGCTACATCGGGCTATCTGCTGTGTCCACCGAGAGGAATCGAACCCCTGATTGTAACATTATAAATTCATATACTTACCGCTGTCCCACCGGGGACCATAAGGTCAGACATATTACAATTAGTGCATGTGCTTTAACAGTAGTGCTTCACTATTATCTTAGATAACATTTGAAATATCATGAAAGTAGCGTATACGAAGTGAAATATACCACAGTTTGCAAACTTTTCACACGGATGTAATAATAATTGGGTTTTTTTTCAGTTTTCTTTATAAAATATATGGGGTCACCCGTCACAGTAAATGTGAGTAAATGACTTTATATCAATTGATGCTACATAATGTAATCACTACCTTCGCTTTAAAGCTATAATCATCGCTATTAATTTCTATAAACTTTATGTTTTACAATTCACTAATGTTAGACATATTTTAAACACATTCAAAGCTCTTTTAAAAGTGGTTTCTGCTCCTAGAATTACCCGTAAAGATTAGTTGTTCTAGGGAATAAGACTGTTAATCTTAAATCACCGTTCATAAATTATTAAAACGAATGAAGTAAAATTAGTGATGTATGTTAATTAAAATATAATAATACTTATTACTGTAATAGAAACGTTCTTTGAACCAAATTTTGTACTATTTATGACTAGTGTAATAAATCTTCTCGCGATGCATCAGCAATGCGATTTATTGAAAACGAGCTCTGTCATTGTTTTCAGTCGACGTTTTTTCCTAAAGTACATAAGTAATCTAAGAACTGAGACTTTTAGCAAGAGAAAGTAGAATTCAGTTTAAAGTGATTCATTATCAGTGCGCAAAAACTCTGGTCGTCAGTTTCTATTGAATACAATATAAGAATCAAAGATTGTAAAGTTTCTTTAGTTACAACCAAGGATATCCAAATTAATGTTTATTGGTGTTGTTCTTAAATATAAACCAGAT